TACATTTTCAAAACGAAATAGCAAGATTTCAACGCATTTTCTCTCTCGTCGGGGTTCACTGATAAAATCCAACCATGTAATAACTAAAATAACGATAAATATTGTCAGACAAAATGTAACAAGCGCAATAATTATAATTTCTGATCGGAAAGAAGTGAAAGTAACCGCAGTGAAAAATAATACACGACGAATTAGAAATGTTCTGGGTTCATGAAACTTTCTTGAATTGGGTCCTCTCACTTTGCATCGCAAAGTAGAAGATAGTAGTAAACTAAATCAGATTCCACATTATGCACCATTCGCATCGTACTTTTACTCACTCATTTTCCCTTCCGATGGCATGGGAAGCGGTTTTATGAAGTATGCCCAACTGTCCCGATCCTAGCTAACAGAAAAGACCAATCAGATTCCAAGCAGTAACGATACCAGGTGTTCAACAGAGCTGGACCATCTGGCATTAGGCCGGCTCTAACGTCGCCTGGAATGAAATCCATCACAATGCGTCTTGCGAGTTTCTCCTCTAAGATCCTAACGACCAAATCAAATCATTGTAATTAATATAACTGGACTTTGTGAGACCTGACTCACAAACCAGTCTGTCTCAGACTGGTACGCTTTGAATCTTGCCGAATCTCATTATATCGACAATCGTTTGAAGGAGTCCCATTTCTGCCTTCTGACAATGTGAACGTCATGTTGTCCAACACTCGGCATTTATGAAAAGGTTAGGGTGAACGAACAGAGTTAAAGGCCAAAAACGAGGTACTACCGCTTAATCTTGAACTCACAATACCGAGGCGATTAAATCGACATAGTTCTGTATCGCAGTCGAAAGACAGCGGGTTTGAATCCATTTCCAGTCACTTGACTGCTACGCTTTTGGGATAGTTATATAAATACCCTCGCGGAAATGAGCCAGGAGACTACACACACGGTAGTCAGATAACTGCAGACACCATCTTTATAAAATATGGCAAATCCAGTTGATGACACCCAAACGTAGACTGGCGGTGCGCCATCAGTTCAGTGAAGTAATGCTGTCACAAATCGTGCCAATTACAGAAATGAAAT